AAAATGGCTGTCTAGTTTTATTTGTCTGTTAATAGGAGACTAAATAAAGTTCACCCATGATTCAGAATGTGTTTAAGATAAACAACCTTCACAATTTTCAACCATAACGGTTTAACATTTTCAGATGAACGAAGTTTATCAAACTACATGATTTAATAAGGCAATACATTTTGAATGATCAAAATGAATAGTGGCTTTTGGGATATTCCATATTAACAGATGAATAATGATACTATAGTTTGTGTACAATAAATGTTTTCTCCAGAAAAGATACATATACACATGGTTTCTTATTATAGATACTTACAACAACTATAGTCAAGTATGGTAAACACATTCGGAGAGTATATGCACCATACATTCATATGAACTGTTATATAATTAATGAAGCAATAGTCTGAAAATGGGTATGCTAACATCCCAAAAAATATACACATTAATTCATCTCTTTCTTATTGGGAAACTATATAGGTTTACAAAGTTGAAAGAACCGTATAGACATTTAATGTAATCATGATTAATTGTGTTAGTACAAAGTAGGAAATGTACAGTTAGAATTCGATTGGTAACTAATCATTACAACTAATCTCATTATAGATAATCATATATTTGATGTGTAAACGAAATAAATAAGTTACTATGATAAAAACCATAAATGACTTTTATTTGAAATGATTTTATTTTTGATTTATTTACTTATGAGATCAAATTATTAGTAGTTAATTCTTAAGATCGCATCTGATACAACTTCATACTTTACAATCGTACAATCGTCGTGAGCAATAACTGGTGGCACGAGAGCTGATTCCAGTTAGATTGTATGAATGTTTGTTATTGGAATATACATATTGCTAATCTTCGTATATTATCACTGACTTGACTCGTGTTGGTGAATAACGGGATTAAAATAAGTCAAGCACGAGAATGAATTTCGAATATGTATATTTCGTAAAATCATTGATTGGAAAGCGAAGCAAAACAAAATGACACACAATGAAGGAGGATAGTGAGCCAACTCGATTTAACCAAGCGCGAATTGATATTTAAATCCAGACACAGATAAATTCAAGGCATGCGATGAGTAAGATAAGAGATGCACACACATACGTTTACATAAAAAAACAGTCAATGTTGATAAGCGAATAAGTGACAAGGTAAAATGTGTCTTGAGAAGAATGAATAGACTCATCTGTCCAGAGGCTAGAATAACCTATATAAGCTTGACATAATACCAGCCGTTATATCACAAACAGCTTTCGACTTGTTCATTTATCTTCGCTTCTATTGTTTTCAGTGGGGTGAAGGTGAGAGTATATGAAACGATGAGAAGTAATGTGAATATGGATTGTTAACCAATGTCTTATTATGTCGGTTAATTGAGTACCATTGGAGATTTATAAAATAAAAATTCTGTTACATATGGTATACAAAAAATGATTTAGGGTTTCAATTTCATATAATTTCACTGCAATGCTTTGGCGATAAGTTTTATTCATAGTTTATTTAACCTCAGTTATTTTAAGTGCTTTCAATAACTAATAACAAATAAAGTGATATTCGTGAATCATTGAACTCATAACTAAAATACCATTATCGTTCCTGTTAACAAGATATGTTGAACTCATGGTGTAGTGTATCGGAATAGCATGTTCAAAGGGAATCACTAAAGTATATGGTACCAGATTTAATTGTTCAAAATGTTTTTGAATGCTGTCAATGTTCTATTTAGTTTGTAAAAGGTGGAAAATCAAACGTAATGAAGCATAGAGTTTATCAAATTATACGGATTTGAGTATACACTTTCGTTTTTCAGTAGACTTGGGAAATTAGTTTTCGTCACCATGTCAAGTTGTAGCTTAATAAATATCTACATTGATTCTAAGCTACTGTCTGTATTAATAACACTTATTGTTTTACTGTTATTTCGATAGAGCAAATTTATAAAAGGGACTAATCGCTTTAAATTTACTGTTATTGCCGTATTGTAACCCATCGAATGAGCGCACTTATTATAACAATTAAGGGTTTCTGCTTTGCCGATGTTGATATTCAGATCCAAGTTAATCAGTCTCCTTAAAAGAATGCGCCTGTTAATTTGTTTGCAACTTGCGCACTAAATGTACCTATATTCCAGTATTGATTGTTTTGCTAAAATCCAATTCAGTACCAAACATTTCTATTATCAAATAGTTATTTACTTGTCTGATGAGTTAAGCTTGGTTCATTGTAATGAAACTTCTTTGACATGGTTAATAATATCACAGAGAAGAACATTTCTATCAAGATTGCAGAAACCTAATGTTCGAAGAAGTGCACTACAGAGACTACTGTTCATGTTATACCTTGGTCGGCATTAGGAAAACTAAAGAATAGAACAATGAATGTTGCAAAGTGATCACATAATAAAATAAATGTGGCAGTGGTAACATACTTGGATGGGATACTGCTTGAACATCTGGGCTACCTGTTCCTGCCATCTAAATATTTCAACAAGTTTTCCGTTTTTGTTTTTTAACATATCATTATGTTTGTTAGTCAGATAACCTATTGAGGTACATTTATGAAAAGTTTACAGCCTTTCGTTGCAGAAGTTATAGAAAAGCTGCTGGCAGTATGTAGCGAAAAGAATGTACATTATTCAGATGTCGATGGCGAGATTATAACTTATGTACGGCTTCCGAACAAATCTTAAGTGACCTTGAGAAACATTAGCCAATCAGAAAAGTTAGTATATAGTAAAAATATACTATACAAAACCAAAGAACTAAAGTGGATACAATTCTTATACATGGTTCAAAAACTTGTCAAGGTGAGAAAGAGGTTCTGAAATCGTAATTCATACGACAGAGGAAATCATCTATATGGATCCATAATGGTAGGCCTCTGGAGCCATAACAAGGTCTCAAAAACTCTTCCAGCCTCGACCATATATCTTGAAAGTTGTTTGTGAGCACTCCGGTTGTTGGGTCCACAAAATGCCGCTTGTAGATGACGACACGATGCGCATAACCAAGTCTATGTAGGCATGTGTACGCTCTCCAATCATCCGTATATATTGTAGTACCCGGATGCAGTCAGTGTTACTGGTTCTTTTATTATCCAGTTCGCAACAGTTGTCATAATTTGCCTTGGTCTCAATCTGGATCGGGCAAAAAATCCTATTCTAACAGAATTCTCCCTCCAACACATATTACATCGAGAGACATCATCTTGGTAGTCTGAACAAGGTCCACAAGTCATTTGATTACCACAATCACAAATAAAGGAATTTCTTAGTAGTCTCTCTTGTTGTATCTGCTCAGTTACCATGCTTTCTCTAAAATCCGCTGTGAACAGATTGTACGTGAGCATCAGGTACTTAAATGGGCGCTGTGATCTTGAAACCCCTCAGAAGCTTCTGATTGGCTCGTCTATAAATTATAGTCTAGCCGTTTTCATCTGTAGTCATTAAACACCCAAGTATTTTATACAAGAATACCCATTGAAGAAGGATATTTTAACACGGTTTTCAACAGGTTAGGACTCAGAAAAATGATTTGCCTTGGTGTTCACTAGTTTGTAAGTGAACATTTGTATCTAAAACTGAAGACGGATTGTGGTAGTCGGACTAACCTTTTTAAATAAGCATAAATAAGAAATGATAAGTCTATAACTCATATGGTTGATAATGTCTTCCCGTGCTCTTGGCAGATCTTCCGAATCTTCATGCACATGAGCTTCAAGTGCTAAAATACAGAAGCTATACTTCAAAAATTGTTTATTTTCAGAGAACAAAAGTATTTAAAGGCTTAAGAACAACCTTGACACTTAAGGAACTTTTGAAAGAATACTAAGTAAACCAAATGACCAAAAATTCAAAGTGTGACATATAATCCGTGGTTTTTCTATCAAGATTCTATTGTGTTTTCACTGAGCTGTAAACGAACAAATTCTGATTATCTTTTTTTGGCTTTTTAAGACCTTGTCAAGGAAATAAAGGAGAATTTTAACGGTAAACATTATAAAATTTAGTGTATTTTGCCTGTTACTTCATCTAATATGATCGTTATTTCGTCTGTCTTCATAAAACGAAACTAATCATCACTCCGTTAGGTAAGAAAAAACAATTATTCTCAATAAATGAAGTGAATATAATTGAACCCGTCAGTTCACTTCAAGAAAATTGACAACCCTTTATCTAATATTTCATAGTTTGAATCACAGAGGGAGTTTGAAATTTTGTATGGCTAAAGCTTCAATGAATCTTAGTATACGCTCTTTTATACTTTCGTACAACACCACAAAAACCGAGTTATGATCAATCTTATGACCCCCTTTGTGTTCTCACATTAAACCTACCTTGGTTTCAAATTGTTATCACATTATTTCCCTTATTATCCTTGTCTCTTCTTACCCTACATTTCTAATCTAGTTGGCCTCTTATTTTTTTTATAAAAATGTTCTTAACAAGTACATCATGTGTGATCAGATTGTTCAAAATGTATTGCGCTAATATATCACATAGTTCTGATAGTCTTCGTCTTCTTATTACACTATCGAAATTTAATTGCTTCAAATATAATTATTTCCCAGTCAATTTGAAGATACCATAATGAACATTATAAAATAAACCAAGACGATTTAATAATCGTAAATGAATCCATCAATAAGATAAGTTGAAATGCATACCTATTTCGTATTTCTAGTGCCATCTCAGATATTTCTTACACAGATTTCTTTATGTATCGTTATACATGAATTATCTATAACGTGTGTATACCTTAGTTGTTATGATCGATTTTCCTCCCGTTCTGTACACTTGTACAAATTCATAAAGAACAAAATTCATATTTACTATTATAAAAGTTTAATAATCATAATATAAGTAGTAATGTGATCGCGATTATAAATTTTTAAAATAAATATTCTGAAATATTCTTTCATCAGGAAAACATATTCAAAGAAAATTACCAGGAAAAAAAGAAACTCAGAGTAACTTTAAGAGTTATTTGTTTACAAAATTAATTTATTATTTTCTTTCTATAGAAATGCTTCTTGATTAATTTCATCATCATCATCATCATCATCATCATCATCATCATCATCATCATCATCATCATCATCATCATCATCATCATCATCATCATCATCATCATCATCATCATCATCATCATCATCATCATCATCATCATCATCATCATCATCATCATCATCATCATCATCATCATCATCATCATCATCATCATCATCATCATCATCATCATCATCATCATCATCATCATCATCATCATCATCATCATCATCATCATCATCATCATCATCATCATCATCATCATCATCATCATCATCATCATCATCATCATCATCATCATCATCATCATCATCATCATCATCATCATCATCATCATCATCATCATCATCATCATCATCATCATCATCATCATCATCATCATCATCATCATCATCATCATCATCATCATCATCATCATCATCATCATCATCATCATCATCACCAGCAACAACAAAATGATGAATTTGAATAAATTATAACTTTCCATTTCATTGTAAATCTTAAAACAGGATTATTAAAAGTGTGTTCACCTAATGTTGTTTTGTTTTGTTGAAAAAGAAATGAGTTCCTTTCAACTATTTTTTGTTTAATGCCAACATTGTATTATTTCATATGAGTTTATATTAATGAGCAACTATTATATTTTATTGTTTATAATTTTTAAAATGGAAATAATGAGTGAATTACAGATATATATAAATAAATAACTAAATAGAAAACAAACAAACAAACATTTATACAGTGTAAATTATAAACAATTGGATTATTATAATAAAACTGTACTCTAACACAATTTGCAATAGTTTACAGCCATTTTGATACGTTTATTTTATTTTTTATAAAGATTATAGACAATACCTGATTAAAATAATAAAGAAAAATGAAATATAATAAAGGTTAATGTTTAAAAGAAGAAAAATAAAAAGGACATGCTTTTTTTTCACTGGAAAACAAATTGATTTAAAGAGAATTAAAATAATGAGAAAATTGAAAAAACAAAGAAACAATTTCCATTTTATTTTCATGGGGGGGGTTAGTGTTACCACAGTATATAATGTTTACAAAGTTACTAATTTTTTATTTTATTGATTTAAGAAGTTTATTCTTTATTATCTTGTTAAGAAATGCATATATTGAAAATTGATTTCTGGATTCACTGAAATAAACAAGGTAATTATTATATGGTCCAGTTAAAAAAACGTTCATATGGAAATGAAGGGGACAGAAAACGAAAATGAAAGTAGAATATGGCAGAAAAAACTCGATTCATACGTTTACATTCAAAGAATTGATAATAATATTAATAATAATCTCTATGGCAACATAATCTGTAATATAAGATCGTACTGATTTTGTTGATGCAAACAATGAAGAATAAAGCAATATTAGATTGATTATTAGAAACTGGTATGTTTTTTTAGTCACACTGAAGAGTTTGAGCATTTTGGTTGAGTTGAGAACAATTTAATAAAAAAATATAAAATATTTTTATTGACTACATGAAATTAGTAGGAATGTTTTCACCCAATCATTTGATTATTGTGCCTGTAAAACGACTGAAATAAAATAAAATAAATTAGATTATAAATCTCTAAATATTGGACTGCAATTCCTATTATCTATAACTTGGATTCATGATATAATTAAGTACTATTAAGTAGTTAGACTAAATTCTATACATCATACTTACTTACTTACGCCTGTTAATCCTCGTGAAGGAGCATAGGCCACTCACCAGCATTCTCCATCCATCCCTGTTCTAGGCAATCCTTTCAAGCTCCTTCCAGTTCCTATTCATCCTTTTCATATCTGCTTCTATTATCCGACGCAATGTGTTCTTTGGCCTTCCTCTTTTTCGCTTCCCTTCAGGATTACAAGTTAGGGCTTGTCTCGTGATGCAGTTTTAATGATTTACGTAATGTATGTCCTATCCATTTCCATCGTCTTTTCCTAATTTCTTCTTCAGCTGGAAGCTGATTTGTTCTCTCCCACAAAAGGCTGTTGCTGATGGTATCCGGCCAATGGATGTTGAGTATTTTGCGAAGACAGCTATTTATAAATACTTGTGTAATCTAAATTATACTACTTATTATTCGTAGGTAGGGTGGTTCCGTCTCAACTGAATATTTATTGCACGAAATGATTATATTTCATTTGTATAAATGCGGTGGGACAGATATTTTGGAAATAGTATCGGGGCAATCAGTAGAAAGATTCAAACGAACAATACAAAAGAGGAATAAGGTTCACCCTATTGCACAACCTACTGACTATTTGAACTCAGTAGCTACGTGAATAACGCGATGACGTTTGAAGTGAACGATATTGGGTTCGAGTTCCTGCGTGAACATCAACTCTGGAATGCAGATATATCCAGCTGACGAGTTCAAGATAGGACGAAACGCGCTTCCTAGATTTCACTGCCAGCCACCAACCATCTCTGTTTTCAATGCTTGTGGCTTAATGCAATATCGAGGCAATCCGCACAGGATGCACATATGCCGGTGAAAGACTGAGCAATAACAGTTCTAAACATCAACGAGAAGATTCAAACGACCAATACAAGGATGAATTGTAGGCCATTATGTAATTATTATTAGAAAGTTTACGAATAAAATCTTGTCAATTATTTCAGCTACATTTTATAATAAACATTTATAATGATATATCATAGATATTAATTTAAAACAAATACAATTTTTAAAAATCTTATTTACTTGAATGTAAATTAACAGTATAATATACCTGATAAAAGGCTACATTATATAGTTAGTAAAGTATCAGTCAAACAAGTATTATATTCTAAGAAGCTCTGAAAAGCTAAAAAGAACACAGTGGAGTTCAACCAGGTCTCTTGTCAGATAGTAACTCACTCATGACAATGGTGGATGTGTCACTCAATTTCGTGGATTAGTTGAAGTTGAACATTAACACCGTTGGATACCGACTGACTCAGTGGTCTAGTGATTAAGTGATCACGCACGAGGCTGATTGGTCCTGGATTCGAATCTCGCGGGGGTTGAATCGTGGATGCGCACTTCTGAGGAGTCCCACACTGGGACAAGACGGCCATCCAGTGCTTCCAGGTTTCCCATGGTGGTCTAGCTTCAAACGACCCATGATTTCAACCATTGAAAAAATAAATTTTTTAAATTTTTCAAGTGAAATTTTTAAAAATTTATTTACTTTAAAACAACTGCACATTGAAGTGGATTCAATAAATGTTATCAGCAACAAAAAAAAAACACAAGAAAAGAAAAAAAATTAAAAAAATGATTTAAATTAAAATAAATAAAACTGAATTAACTCACTTCAATTTTAGAGGTAAACTTAAAGTTAAATGAAGAACTAATCAAAAATTATATTATTCATTTCTATATGTACGTATAATTGAACAAGCCTATAAAAGAAATTGATATATAGAAATTCATTAATTGTCATATTTAGTTAAATTAATGAAATACAATTTCAAATGAAATATAGATGAATAAATTGTAATGAAAGGATAGTCATCTTTATAAGAGTATCAAGTTAAAAGCAACATCTAAAAGTTATAATTTAATGCATATCTATACACTTCTCTGTATTTATCAAATCCTGTTAAGTGATTATAGTGAACGAGAACATCAATGAGGATAATTGAATGTATTCGACTACAAAATTACAGAATGTTTTAATAAAATCTGAGATCCATACAATAAATACTTCATTTACAAAATGTGAATCAGTTGTCTTCGATTTGACTATTCCTTCGTTTCCATACCGATCATTTTATTTTGTTCCCGTTCTCTTTTGTTTGATCTTTGTAATTTTCTACTGCTAGACATTTGACTTTCGATTGATAATACATACTACTTATATCTATCGATATCAGTAGCACAAACCACAATATGATAGGATATAAAGACAAAATTACATTCGTTTATTCATTGTGATTTTCTTTTGTTCAATATTACTTTTATTTTTATTTCAATGTAATGATTACTCAGTATAGTTCTTGTTTTCGGTTTTCAGTGTGATATTTTATTTGGTAAAACAATAATTTATTTGAGTGTGATGTCTTATTCAAGATACGATAGTCTTGTATTAAAAATTAACATAAGCTATGCTCAGTATGACATATAGCATGTGATTCTGTTATAACTCTGGGTGTTTTTCATATATGTGCCTTTATTTTAGTATTCAAAATGAATGTACAATAAATAGAAAATGAACGCATTTTCGACTAAAGACGTCGTTAAATTTTGGGTTAATAAATGTTCACTTGTACCAGTCTTTGTGTTCTTACTTCGCGTTGTGAGAATTACAGTGGTTCCCCGTTTATTCAGGTATAAATAATAAGCGATGCGGATGTACAGAATAGTTTGTAACATTTGATAAAAGACTTTGAGATTATTTTATTACTCATAATTGTTTACCCACTTTAGGTAAATTTAAGATTGGCTGTTACATGTTTGTTTGATTAGGATTAATTTGCAAAATAACAATCTAAATTTTGGTGGAAGTTAGTTTGGTCAATGATATAAATCTATAATAATGAATTCTGTATAATAAGGAATATTTCAACCAGTTATAAAACCAAAATCTTAACATTCATTAAGCTTATAACAGTTGAATATCTGTTGAATTCATATGAAACTAGTTCATGATAAACTTCGTCTTATGTTTACAGTTTGACAAGAATCGTTCGCCTTTAGGAATTAGCTATTTTTCTTTTAGTGAAAGTTAACAGCTTACTACACTTAGAGTGTTTGATAACCAGTATTTAGCATATCTAAGTTTGTTCGACTCACGTTCAAATATATGACCATCTGGGAAGATGAAATGAGAACAATTAGATGCTCAAGATATCAATTAAGCACGACATTTGATAACTGAGTTAACACCTAAGTAAAGCTTTGACGTAAAAATAAGTTTCTTAGTTCTCAATTAGTCGACAATTTAAGTTAGGAGCTTTATAATAAGCCGCTAATTATGAGTGTTATTTATCATTTAATGTCTCACAACACTGTTGACATTGATAAAATATATCAACCTCTCAGACTAAAATTTCAAATGTAAACCAACTCATTGTCGAACGAAATGGTTTAACTATAAACAGAAGTTAAGGAAATAGGAAACTAAAGAAGAATCAACAACACACCTCATCTCATTTATACTGATAATATTTCGTCTAATTCCATTTAAACAGACACTCTCTATCAGGCAAAAAAAAACTTCAGCAATTTCATCTTTATTAATTCTTTTACTTTTATGATTGAGTTAACAATATTCGTGCTTTGATTTTTGCGAATTTTGAAAAAAATTAATCTATTTCATCCAAATTGGATTCGGTTATTTTAACCACAGAAGTGTAGAGAACATTCTTAAAAATAGCAGTTACATGAGTTCTACAATATTAATATCGATTCATACGTCACTCAGTGAAATGGCCTGTTTTTTGAAAAAGATGTTTTCATCAAATCGTAACAAATCAACAAAACTGATACTTTAGTGAACGAGAACACCAGTATGGACAGTCGAATGTATTTGAACACAAAATTACGGAGTCTCTGAGCAAAATCTGAGAATCATACAGTAAATATTTAATTTTCAAAATATCAATCAACTGTCTCAAACTTGACTGTTCCTTTTGCAAATATCACCCAATCGTTTCGAATTTTATTGTTCCTGTATTTTCATACCAAATGCTTTCCATTTCTGTTCTTCCCTTCTCAATCTTCTACGGAAATATATTGTATTCCTGGATATCGTTATATATTACTTATGTGGATATCATTAACTAGTTTCATGACTAGTAATCACTTAATGTTCTTTAATACTTTTTTATTTAGGTTTCCAGTTCCTTATCCATTCAGGATGCTTACTATCTTTTAAGTCGAATGAATATTTAATAAATATTCGCTTAAATTCTATAGAAAAGTAGTGAAGTATTTCACTTTGATTTCATTCTATCTTTATTTACTTAACCTTAGATGATATACATAGAAAAAAGAAAACAATTGAATTAATTTACTTAATTAACTAGTTTTATCAGGTCAGAGTTAATGAAGTAGAAATTAGAGTACAAGTTATTTGTTTGATTACGTTCACATTATTTAGTTATAATACTAATGATAACAAATTTTGTCAAAAAAAATAAAGACAAAGAAAGAACAAGATGAAGAAAGAAAAATTAAAGGAAACTAGTGTAATATCAGAATGGGTTTTGTGAATATTATAGTAATTTCAATGGTTGAGATCATGAATCAACATACGCTCACTAGTGAATGGCTTCAAGACGTATATTCTAGAGTTTTAGTGAAAACTAGTGACCAGTGGGGTTCAACCAGGTCTGTTGTCAAATAGTAACTCACTCATGACAACGGTGAATGTGTCGCTCAATTTCGTAGATTAGTTGAAGTTAGACATTAACACCTTTAGATGCCGGCTGACTCAGTGGTCTAGTGGTTAAGTGATCGCGCACGAGACTGATAGGTCCTGGGCCGAATCTCTCAGGAGGTGGAATCATGGATCCTCACTGCTGAGAAGTCCCGTACTAGGACAAAACGGCCATCCAGTGCTTCCAAGTTTTGCATGGTGGTCTAGCTTCAATTGACTCATGATCTCAACCATTGAAAAAACTAGTTTGAATAAAAATTCAATGTCATCTTTTTGTTTTAATGTGTTAACGAAATTCAAAAGAATAAATGAATAAACAAATAACTAAATAAATTGATAAACTATCCATTTCTTTATAATAAACAAGTGAATAAATTTAATCCAATAAATCATCTAATTGAATAGTTACTATGTAGACTAGATATATTCAAATGTTATATTATATCATAATAGAGTTATATATTGATAAAATTAACTAAATTGAAATATTAATTGATTGAGTTATTATTGTTTCTAGTTAGTTTTTGCTTTGAAAAAAAATTCATTCTCACACAATTCTAAAAATTAATCAGTCATGAAATAATGTAGTTTATCATTTTTAAAATTGTATATTATATACATGAAATACTGATAACTTAAGCAAGCACATCTGTATACATTTATGTATCCGTATTCATTGATGTTTTTTTGTTCCCGCTTTTTTTCTTCTTGAAATTTCAAACTTTAGATTTAGTTTTTTTTGTTTGTCTTGGTACTCATTCTTCATTTCTAAAATAGAATTGATTTTAAATTCACTTGTTGTTGTTTTATTTGTATCTTCTCATTGTGTTATTTAGGATTTCAATTGATTAGTCTGTGGTTGGTATATTTACATCCTGTATGGATTGCCTCGATATAAACTTAAGTCACAAGCTTTTTAAGCAAAGATAGATGGGGCTAATAGTGGATTCCAGGATGTGCGTTTCGTTCTATTCGGGACTCATCAGCTGGATGTACTTGCATCCTAAATAACGATGGGGAAATACAAGTAAAACAACATCAAGTGATATAAAAAAAATTCGCCCCATCGCACAAACAGGTGGCTATCAGGAATCAGTAGCTAAGTGGATAACGCGATGGTATTTGAAGCGAACGGTACTGGGTTTGAGTCTTACAGTGAAAATGAACTCTGGGATGCAGGTAAATTCAGCTGATGAGTTGCAAATAGGGAGGAACGCGCGTCCTGGATTCTATTGCCAGCCACTATCTATCATTGCTTTAAATAGAATCGATTTTGTTTAATGAAAATTTCGGGTTTTAGTCCTATTGCTAAAAAGTTATTTATTCATTTTACATGAAAACAACAATAGTTATAATCTTACATTATAATCAATTTCTGGAATCAATGTAACTGGTGAGGTTTGTATATGATTAGCAAATATTGTTGTATGACTAGGATTTGTTCCATTTGGTGCACCTGTAATAAGATAATGTGCTTGACCATTTGTAACAAGATTCTCAGATACGGTTGGTGGATGATAATTTATTCCAGTAATTGATGATTGTTGAACCGATGGGACTGTTGATGGACCGAATATTTGTAATTGTGGTTGATTATGTTGACTATAAGTTGAGTAAGAATGAGAAAGATGATTAGTAAGAGAATGTGAATGCTGACTAATTTCAACTTGATCATTTTCTGCTCCTATGATATCTGTTTGTAAGGGATGAGTTGCAGAATTAATCAAAGGACTATGATTAGTAGTTTCTCCGTTTTGTAATATTGAATTGATGGTCACAGAATTCAATAAAAACTGTAATTTATTGGCACGATTAGTATTAATAAATTCTGCTACTGTTGTTCTTTATTTTGTGCAGTTGACTGGTTACAACTATTGTTAATACTGTTGCAGTTACTGTTAGTATTATTATACATATTTAAATGATTGTTCTTATCGTTATTATTATCAGTTGTATTCGTAATGATTGGGATACGCGGATTAGAAGTTACGAATGTGGTCGATTGAATAGGTTGTAATGAATGAGTTAACAGAGATAATAAATTCGATGATGAATTGAGTAAATCATAACTGATAGTTTGAGAATCTTGATTTCTCATTTGATTAGGATCTAATGTAGATGGTAGTAGTCCAGTATGTGGATTAACCATAACACCTGTTGACGGACTATAGAACATTGAATTTCCTTAATGTAAAGATAAAGAAAAAATTCACAGCTATTGTCTCCATAACTTTCATGGAATACTGTTTAGAATTATTAAAAAATCTTTGTCATTTATCCTTAAGGCAAAATGTTTAAAGCTTTAAATAATAACAAAATTTATGATTTTATCAGTCCTAAATGATTTATTTATACTACTTAAATTCAATCAACATCACGTGAAAGGAATCAAAAGAAAGTGGTATGTTTTACACCAATACGTCAGTAATTTCAATTTCTTTTCTTTTTTTTTCTATCCATAAAGTATGAATTTTTCATACTTGGAAAAGAAGTAAATGGATATATAAATGTCAATAAATAAAATCGTACTTCATCAAAGTTACATTTCATTTAAGAGTGTTATAAGAATTGTTTTCTAGTTTATGAAACAAATGATACTTCAGTTATAATTTTTTACTTAGAATCAATATTTATAGAATCAACTACGATAAAGTTTGTCAATAATTAGATCTTTTCAATCAACAACTGTAAAAAGGAATGTTAATACAATTCAATGGAATACCTAAGATATCAATAGTCTACTAATAATTCATAGAAAGTTATAAACTTAACTATTCTCATATTTAATTCAGTGACCGCATAACCTGATAAATGAAACTTAATTTTCACATTACATAGAGTATGGTAACTGGTTTAATAGGATAGTTTGATTTATTTGATTGATATGATGACATTCATTATAGGTTAGTTTCATTTGGTAAATTACTGGAAATCGAGAAACGCTGGACAGATGTTATTTTACAGTCTACATCTCTACTGTATGACACACTTGAAACTATATATGAGGGCAGAAAAAGTACCTTAAGCTTTTACACAGAGTATAATTTTTATTTGGACTATTATTACAAAATGTTATGTAGCGAAACCCTCATCTGATGTGGTTTGTAATGTACTATGTCACTGCCTGCTTTTTTGACTCCACAAGTTGTGTTTTTCAGTGAAACTCTAGATAACATTAGTTTACGATAGAATTTATATTTAGGCTACTGAAGTTTTTGTCAAAGACATCCAAGTGTTCATATATATATGCTATGGTATAAGCTGTTATTTTCAAATTCGTTGTCGTAAACACGGTAACAAAGTGAAATCATTATCCAATCACAGTTATAGGATATTGATTTTATAAGATATATAATTTACTTATCATACTGAAAAGAATATCTATTACAGTTCAGTAGTCAGACACAGCTATTCTCATTTAGTTTATATAATCATATGTATTTCATAAAAGATTTAGTTAACCTACATCGTATGATATATGGAGTGTAATCTATTCATATAATTCAAGACTTTTATTAACTATCATGACCAAAAACATAATCGTAGTTCCTACCAGAGAATATACATCACTATGATAATTATTATTTGATACTTCATTTATATTCTCTACAAATATTTAGTCAAAACAAAATAGGATTGTGAAATTTATTGAAAAACAGAAACTTTTACGCGAAAATTATGTAATTGACTTCTATCTACATGAAAATCGTATAATAGCACAGATGAATTTTCACAAGAAAAAAGATTCATTAACAGGAATGACTTGATAATCTACAGGTCATTAGCAGATTTTATGGTCTAAAACGTTATAGTTCATTGTTCTATAATTGAGTTTAAATCATCAGTGAGTATACAATAACTTGATCAATAGTTAATTTATTATCAGAAGGGGTTTTGTGTACACTATAGTAATTTCAATGCTTGAGATCATGAGTCATTTGAAGCTAGACCACCATGCAAAACTTGGAAATGCTGGACGACCGTTTCGTCCCAGTATGGGACTTCTCAGCAGTGAGCATTTACGATTCAACCCCCGCGGGATTCGAGCCCAGGACCTATCAGTCTCGTGCGCGATCACTTAACCACTAGACCACTGAGTCAGTCGGTATCCAACGGTGTTAATGTTTAACTTCAACTAATCCACGAAATTGAGTGACACATCCACCATTGTCATGAGTGAGTTACTATTTGACAACAGACCTGGTTGAACCCCACTGGTCACTAGTTCTCAATAAAACTCCAAGATATATCTCTTGAAGGATGAAATGGTTATCCAGTACTTCCAGGTTTTCCATAGTGGTCTAGCTTCAATTGACTCATGATCTCAACTAAGAGAATAGTTAATTTATCAATATAATATAGTATAATCGTTATGATAAATTTATGGTTACAATAAAATTTACTTACTAGAATGAAGTACACTTTTTCACTAACTTCTTAACCATAATTGTTTATAATGGTTGATCAATTTAATTAGAAATTTATTTAACCTAAACTAAATTTATTATAATCTAAATTAATTGATCATTTCAATTCATTGAACATAATCAAAATATAACTTTTAAATTGTTTTTCTAATTTTAACTTTATACATAATGTGGATTGTTTTCACTTTTTTTATTATTCTATTTCATTTCATATTGATTACAATCAGTCAATCATTTGACCAAATGTAGATAGTAAAAAATTATTAAATTAAACCACAGGAATTCAAATAACAAACCATGTTGTTGTTTTTTTTTAGAAGGTTGGAGGGGAATTTCAATTTTTTCCTTGAATATATGGAAACTTTTGTTTTTTAGAAAAACAAAACACACAACATACTCTGCGTTGATGAAGTGGAAATATCTCCAGAAATATTGAAACACAAAACAAAGTTACTATGATTATCATTATTGTGTAAATTGTTTTGAATTTTACACGTATTCTAAATTAGGTCAGTTTTTTTTTGATTGTTACAAAAAGCTAAACAAAACAATAATAACATCAGTAAAGCATATTAAATAGAAAAGAAAAACGAAGAAAAATGCTAATTAGGTATTTTCTTTTTCCTCTATCCATGTGTATTAGATACCCAATTGGTTGAAATATACTCATATATATATATATATATATATATATATATATTATATATATATATATATACGGAAACATACTGAGAAATACACTTTATTCTATGCATAAATTGTATATAATTCTGTGTATTATAAGTAGATATTACTTTTATACTATGCATAACAAGTGATTATAAATGAAATGTAAACCCATCTCTTTCCTTTTACCCTAAGATATAGAAACATCATTTTCAAAATATATATCTATCTATCTGTCTATCTATCTCTATACATATATACAAATGCATGTTTGTGTATTTGAATAATTTTTTTCGTTTTGTTACTGAATGAGAACAACGGACAATTATCGATTAAATTGGAAAATGGAAATTAAATTTAAGAAAATAAAAAAAAAAGGTTACAGAATTTGTTCTAATCTCTTTTTACTTGAGGAACTTTTATTCATTATTTATCTATTCACTTATTTGTTTTGATTCATTCTATAGTATTTTACCTTCATGGAGCATATAAAGATTATTTATGTACTAATTAAATCATTGCCATTATTTAATTATTGTTAAGATGATTAATGATTGTGTTACTCATTGTTCATATAATAAATGAAAATAAATAAATACTGTCAATTATAGTTAAAATTGATTATTCAAGTATTAAAGACCGATAAATATAAATAGACATATCTATGTAATCATTATAAATTAACGAATGAGTTCATAAAGATGCTCATCTACCAATAAATTGATATTTTCAGGTCAATCATATAGTTAATAAAACGATCATTCAACTTGATAATATTTTTATATATCTTTAACTATATGAATGACATATATGTAAAATAGATAAAATAAACTATTGAAAAATCAATATAGTAAATCACTAGTCAACATGTATTTATGTTTCTGTTTTGAGGTAGTTGTGTGAAAGAAATGTGGGTTTGTTTTTTCTTTTTTTTTATTATAGAATAAACGATATCGTTTTTAATGTATTGATAAAGGAAGTTTTACATAAAAATGGTTTAAAGTGATAAGAAAGCTGACTACCATTTACCAACGTCTTGGATCAGTAATATTATATATCGATTCACATATATGTATACGAAATGAATAGGTAATTCAGTGTGTACTATATGTGATAAAAAAAAGATATTTACTAGTTAATATTTGGTTGACATGATTTAATAGATTATCACCATTTATGATCAAGATAAATGAAATTTACATAGATTCTTAGTGGATAAATATGGAAGGATTTACACTATGGTGGTCTATTTGGTGTGGTACTTTTTTTTATCTTTCAATAAACTTTTCTTACATACACAAGAATCTCATATAATCAAATGTAATAAAGGAATATTTATTTGAATGTAGCTAAAAGATTCAATCTAAAAAATGAGCAAATTTTGTCATTTTTCTAAAAATAAAGAGGATTTAGCGAAGGAAATTCTCTTTTCCATGAAATTATTTACTTAAGATGTACATTCTCATTTATAGTCGTATGGTAAATATATGTCTATAGAAGGATAGAAAAGATCGCATAATAAATTGATTCGAGACTCCAGTTATCAAATGAGGGTACGTTGTCCACTTGACAGGTGTGGAGAAAAACGAAAAACATACGGATCATAGTAGTAATAAAATTACTTGCTCCTATGAGGCAGGTCACATTGGCTGCACAAAGTGATTACTTTATAAACGCATCACAGAACATTACATGGCGTGGCTTTTAAAAGGAAAATGTGAAACAGGTATCAGTTCAATACAGGAGCATTTAATCAACTCTAGATACATCTCTCTGAAGGAGTCTTCCTTCAAAATAATCAAAAGGGGGCCGAATCAAGAACGTATGCACTGCTGAAGCGTTGGCGATCCACTAATTCAGGCGCGATACATCCGATCCCTCATCCATTTTCGGCTTCAGTTGCCCTATATAGTATATTTTGATCCTGTTTTTTAATGTTTTGTATTTTTGACCGTTGCCAGTTATTATCACCCTTCAACAATTTCATATTACGATTAGTCAGCTATTGTTATGACCTTTGTGTTTTTCGCCTTTTTTCATATCTGTCAAGCGGACAATCACCTTTCATAGTTCTGATCCGTAAATGACTTTCACCCTTCTATTCTTCTCTGACACTGATTATTACGCAACATCGTTTGATAACTGGAGTCTTGAATCAACTTATGATGCAATCTTTTCTATCCTTCTATAGACATATATTTACCATGCGACAATAAATGAGAATGTACATCTTAGGTAAATAATTTCATGGAAAGGAAAATTTTCTTCACTGACTTATCCTTATTTTAAAAAAAGAACATCGAAAAATCACTAGAATTATAGAGTACTAATTTCAAAACAATTTTGAAAGTGTTGTAATAGGACTTAGATACCATTTAAAGTAATAGAAGATTCAGAAATTGCATATTTTTTTGTACAACATCTATATCGAGGCAATTCGCACAGGATGCACATATG